GTAATCAGTTGTTTGACTAAAGCTTGTGGTTTTCTTAAAGGAAAACTTTTTCTCACAGAGGAGTTGCTGTGACTTCTTTGAGTTTCTTCATTTTTAAGTCCTGGGAACTCTGAGAGAATGCATACACACAAAAATTTCTCTAAAGTTACGTTTTAGGAGAAAGTGAAGCTAACACTGATGAGAAACTCATGGTAAAAATTGCCATTTAAAGGAAGATTTTTGTGTGTTGTCACATTGTCTCTCATTAATTAACCCCTCACCCCTCAATAAACACATACACACACATTGCAGTGTCCAGGTGTAACATTTTTTTCTGCATTTACTGAAGAACGTTTGACATATAAGATGTGAACTGAACATTCTGAGAAATGTGGAAAGAGGTCTGCACCATGAACCAAGGATCCTGGGAATTAGGCAAGTGATAGGAAGAAAACTGATAGGCTCACAAAGCATCCTGAGATGCATCTGGTTCCCTTAACAGTGCATCTGGTCTGAATTGGAAGAGTGGCTGAGAGGCTTGGAGAATCCTCTGCCTTGGTGTTGAGTTGTACTGATGGCTACACCATAAGTCACTGAACAATCACAGTCACACTCGTAGATCTGGAAAGACAGGCTACCCGCTTCCTAACACTTAGCACTGTTGCCAAGATGGCACCAGGAGAAAGTGAATTGCATCCAGACTGGTAGCCCTACTTATAGCTACAGTTTAGGCTTGAATCCCAACTTTGATCCTGCGTCCAAGTCCATTTGAACTGAAGTGCTGAAGGGTTAAAGATTAATCACAAGACTGCCTCAGGAGCAGTCCCTACAGGACAGAGGGAAGCATAGATTCTGAGCTGGGGTCCTCAACCCTTTTTCCCTGTCTTGGCTGAGGGGTCCCAATGTTTACTGAATGTTAAATAAATACCAATTGAATCTGTGTTTAATGAGGTGTATCAAACATGTAATAAGATACATATCTATTAAACAGTTGTGAAATCTCAGTAAATATGTTCTTAATAATAAAGAGTGCAGATGGCTTACAGATTGGACCAAAGAACAAAGACTAAAGAAGCTTATGGAAGGAATAGGAGAGCCATCTTCTGAAAGCTGAGAAGACAGCTGATTTTCAGCCAGAATTTGATACATGTATCTGTGCTCAAGTAGAGCAAAATTGGGACCCAAGCCTATAAAGAAGACTATAAACCTTGAAACCTAAAGACTAGAAGAAATCATGATTAAAATTAACAACAGAAATGCTTGCTTACAAAAATGTCACCAAAGTTTTAGGTATACCTTAAGGTTTTAGCAGTACATGAGTTTCAATAATCTATTTATCCTTTAAGTGTCCCCAAACTGCAGGGACTAGCCAAGTATTAGAAAACAAAAGAGTCACATGATATGTAGGTAAAGGATTATTAACTTGTTTTTCTTTCTCTAAAAAGTGGTAATTATCATATTATATTGCAATATGCTATTGAAGTTACATCAGAAAACTACTATTGAAAACTGATCTCTTTCTCCTAGTGTGTATAGATCAAGTTAAGAATCTGATTATGTGTGATTGTTTGCTGAATAATTGGTGCTTAAACTTGAAGGAAAAAGAAGAGGAAAGCAAAATGTTCTGGCATAGAGTATCTGGAAGTAAATTCTGAAGTAAAACCAGAGCTTATGAACTTTTTTAAAAAAATTACGATCCTAAGTGCATTTCATCATAACTCCAATGCATTGTCAATTGAACACTAGTCAAAGAGTGTACTTGGCTTACATACAAGATAGATAATACAGATTATTCCAGTAACTTGGAGGTAAGTCAGTTCTGATATAAATGAAACACCTCTCTTTTTTATTAATATTGCCTTTATTATCAGTATCTTTATTAATCTGATCTTCATTTTTCTTTGGAGGTTCAACACATTTAAATTTACAGATATAGTTAATCATGATCTGCATTACATAAGATAGAAAAGTACAGTATGATTAATATATATATCTATATGTCAGAGTGTCCTATAGTAAACATTTGTCCTGCTTTCTCTGTATCAGACATTGTTCTAAGTGTTTACATGTGCTTCCTTATTGTGCAATAATGATAACTTAAGTATTATCGTTACCTCCATTTAAGAAATGAGGAAATTATAGGACACCAAAAGAAAGGCCACATACCTACATCCCGCAAAACATAGATTGTGACACGTAGATTCAAAACCAAATGATTTTACTGCAGAGTCCTTATTTGTAACTCCTATTCTGGATCAATACTTCCCAAGAATTTTAGAATTATAGTCTGCTGTATAGAAAATCACATTTAGTACATTTACATGAAGGTAAATTCTGGAAGGTCCTTACAACCCACAATGGCAGGCACAAGGAGTAAAGATGTAGCAACAAGTGGCTTAATTGGGTGTGTATCTCCACATACTTGTAATCTCTTTGCCCTATATCCGTATGTGTGATCCACTGCTTAGTAACTTCTTCTCTATACTGGCATACCTTGGAGACACTGTGGGTTTAGTTTCAGGTGATTGTGGTAAAGCAAGTACTGCAATAAATTGAGTCATGATTTTGTTTGTTTCTGAGTGCATAAAAAATTATATTTACATTATGCTGTAGACTACTAAGTGTACAATATCATAGTTGGCTACCATCAGTCAGAAACAACTGATAGCATGCCCTCTATTGGGCTTTCAAAGGCAGTTATTCTCACGGCAGGAGATTAGCCATCTTTCTCCCATAGGGCAGCTGGTGAATTTGATCCATATGCCTTTGGTAGCCATTGCAAAAAGTTTGAAGCATTGTGGTAATTATCAAAATGTGACACAGAGATACGAAGTCAGCACATACAGTTAGGGGGAAAATGGCACTGAACACTTGCTACTCACAAACTCTTTATCTGCAAAGCATAATAATAGAGTCAGATGCAATAAAATAAAGTATGCCTGTATACTCTTCTAGGATATTCATAGCAGGATGTTTATATTAGTTGAATAAATACCTTTGATAAATCAAATTGGAGTTAGGAATTAAAAATATTTTCTATCAAAGAGACATAAAAGGTAATTGGCAAGTTTATTTGGAGAAGAAAGAAACCTTTAATAAGCAGAGAACTTCTGAAAATCAAGGATGAAGTGGGAGGCATAGCTCTCCCTGATCTCAAAACCTACTACAAAACTGTATAATCAAAACAGCATGGTACTAGTACAATGACAGGCACATAAATCAATGGAATAGAATTGAGAGCCCAGAAATGAATCCATTTGTCTATTGTTGTTATGTTCTGTCGAGTCACCTGTGACTCATAGTGACCCTATATAAAACAGCCCCAAACCCTACTCTATTCTTTGCCAATCTTAGGATCTCTGATACATATACCCCTGTCACTGAATCAATCCATCTCACTGAGAGTCTTCCTCTCTTGTGCTGTCCCTCTACCCTCCCATGCATGACATCCCTCTCCAAGGATTGATCCTGCCTTGAAATATGTCCAAAGTAGTCAACTGATATTTGACAAGGAAACAAAACCTATCAAATGGGTAGACAACAACCTCTTCCACAAAAAGTGCTGGCAAAACTGGACTACTGCAACCAGAGTGAAGGTGGATGGAGTAAAGGTGGCTCGGAGCAAAGGTAGGCTCCTGAAAGCGGGCCACCAAAAGCAGGCCTGACAGCTGGAATTTGGGTAAGGTCACCATTAGTACCCAATCGGGACGAGTCTGTGCATGCACCCACCTGGCATGTGTCTGTGTGTGTGCCCTGCACATGTTCCCACCCCTTCACCAATGTACATCCTGTGCCCCTACTCTCTGCCTTGCATCTCCACACATCAAGTCAGCTAACTGCCTTTATTCCAGAAAGCCTTGGTCTGCAACAGTTGTAAACAAAAGAAGCTGCTTTCACAGGCCCTGAACTGAAACTTCCCTAGGGTCAGAAGTTCAGAGACAAACACAGACAGGGTAGGTGTCCCACCCTCTTCTGGAGCAGTGACTTCAGATCAAAAACCTATAATTGCATCCAAAATGAAAAACTCTACCACAGTAATGTCATGTAAGAAGCAGGCTACCTCGCATCATACTCAAGCTCAAAGCAAGATGTCACCCCCAAAAAGTGACACAGTATCAATGGGTTTTCTGAAGCCAGAAAGTGTGATGGAACTTTCTGTCACAGAATTTAAAAGAACAGTGATTGAATATTTTCAGTGGGTCAAAGACAAACTTGAAGAATCACAAGACACTGCAAGCAAAAACCAGGAGGAGCTTAAAAAAAAATCCAAAACAAGGCAGATAAAACAAATGAGGCATTAGAGGCTTTGGAAAAAACAAGAAACCATGATCCAAAACATAAAGTCCAATGTTTCAGATGCTGTCAACATGATGGATGGAACACATGAACAGAGTTGAAGAGATGGAACACAGAACCAGTGAAATAGAAGATAGACTTGTCACCACTGATAGGCTAGAACAAAAAGCAGAATTAAAAAAGGAAAGAAAAAGAAGAAAATCTAGGAATAATGTGGGACACCATCAAGAGAAATACATGGTCATCATCAGAATCCCAGAACAGGAAGAAGCAAGTAAAGGCACCAAAAAAGTTGTCAAAGAATTACTAGAAGAAAACTTCCCAGGCATTATGAAGAATGAGAGAATATGTAGTCAAAAAGTTGAGCAAACACCATATAGACTAGACCGCAAAAGAAAAACACCAAGGCATATCATAGCCAAATTTGCAAGAACCAAAGATGAGAGAATTCTGAAATCAATGAGGAGGAAACAAAGAGTAACTTATAAGGGAAAACAGATAAGATTAAGTGCCAATTTCTCAGCAGAAACCATGCGAGCAAGAAGACAGGGGAATGACATATATCAAACACTCAAAGAACACAACTATCAATCAAGAATATTATACCCAGAAAATCCCTGTGTGTCGCTGCTCCCCCACCTCTTTGCTCAGTCACTCATCTTGGTGTCCGCAGCATCTTCCACTGCTTTCCTGAGTGATGAGAACCGGCCTCCCAGAAATTCACCATGTCTATTACAAAGATTCACGCCAGAGAGATCTTTGACTCCCGTGGAAATCCCACTGTTGAGGTTGATCTTTATACTGCAAAAGGTCTCTTCAGAGCTGCTGTACCCAGTGGTGCATCAACTGGTATCTATGAGGCTCTGGAGCTCTGGGACAGTGATAAGACTAGGTATCTGGGGAAAGGTGTCTCAAAGGCTGTTGAGCACATCAATAAAACTATTGCGCCTGCCCTGATTAGCAAGAAACTGAATGTTGTGGAACAGGAGAAGATTGACAAGCTAATGATTGAGATGGATGGAACTGAGAATAAATCAAAATTTGGTGCCAATGCCATTCTGGGAGTGTCTCTTGCTGTCTGCAAGGCTGGAGCCATTGAGAAGGGGGTCCCCCTGTATCGGCACGTTGCTGACTTGGCTGGCAATTCTGAAGTCATTCTGCCAGTTCCCGCTTTCAATGTCATCAGCAGTGGCTCTCATGCTGTCAACAAGCTGGCTATGCAGGAGTTCATGATCCTCCTTGTCGGAGCAGCAAGCTTCAAAGAAGCCATGCGCATTGGGGCTGAGGTTTACCACAACCTAAAGAACGTCATCAAGGACAAGTACGGCAAGGATGCCACCAATGTGGGGGATGAAGGTGGCTTTGCCCCTAACATCCTGGAGAACAAAGAAGCCCTGGAACTGCTGAAGACTGCGATTGGGAAAGCTGGCTACACTGACAAGGTGGTGATTGGCATGGACGTTTCTGCCTCAGAGTTCTTCCGCTCTGGGAAGTACGACCCTGACTTTAAATCTCCTGATGACCCCAGCAGGTACATCTCACCTGACCAGCTGGGAGACCTATACAAGTCCTTCATCAGGGACTACCCAGTGGTGTCTAT